TTTAATGTTCAGTAAAAAAATATCACATTTGAAGTGTTTAAACTCTCAAGCCATTTACAAAAAACCCCAAACCTAAACAAAAAAGACATCCCCTCACTTTTTGTATGAGCTTTACTGACTATGTGTGTATCTCCTTCAGTGTCTGTGTCAGTGCTCTAGAACTTTATCAAGGGCTTTCTGTGCTCCTCACTGCTTTCACAGTGATTCTGAGGAGAACCAGGTCTTTTTAGAGACATTTTGTGCTACCAGGCTCTGCCAAGTGCCTTCTGGTGTGCCTACAGGAGCCTCTATCAGTTGTGCTTTGCACCTTAGACAACATTTACAAAACTAAACAGTGTCTGAATAGGGGCAGCATTTTGAAAGCAGCTGAAAATTTCTATTGAGCACCTAAACTAAATTGTTCAACAATTTCAAATAAAAAAAAAAAAACAACTTAAGACCTTGTTCTTTTCAGAAAAGCAAATTTTATTCTGAACTGCAGCACATACATACAACATTTCAAAAATATACATATTTGAAAACAAGAGACTGCACTTCATTAACCTACTTGCTGTTTATCAGTTGTTACAATTACATTTGCAATCAGGTGGAGGTACTACAATCGTAGCCCTCCTATGAGTTGACGTTCTTAGGTATCACTGGTATAATTGTGCTGTATACAACTGCTAATGAAAAAAACCCACACAACTTGTCAGTTTACTATTACCATCACCTGGAGACTTCAGCTACCTGGCTAAGTATTTTAAAGAGAAAAATGTTATTTAAAACAAGCATAGCAAATAATTAACTTCATGGAAACACTTGATGAACATAATATACAAATTTGAATAGTTCTGAATGAAGTTTCCTAAACCAGGACCAATCCCAACAGAAGCAACATAGCAGCAGTGTGGTAAGGGAGGAAGCCAGCTATTCCTAAAACCTTTCCCTTTTATTTAGATTGAAATAATCAGAAGTTGCTTACATTTCTATACATTTAAAAATACCATTGCATTACATCATTTGTGTTTCACAACAATTTAACAAGTTTCAGAATATGCTAATATAAATATCCTAACCCATCCACCATTTATTAATTCACTACAGAAACACTTTCTACATAAAATATATTTAAATTATATTTTAAGAATATAGAACTTTAATTAAACAAGCACAACACCAGAAGATTCAGCTTGCAGTTAATTTTCAATGCACTAGAACTTTTAATGAAGCTGCTCAAACTATGGCGGGGAGAGAATTTGAACAAAATGTGCAAACAGGTTAAGAATAAATGGTGATCACTTCACGTCCACTGCCTCGGACAAGGAGAACTCTATCCAGACCTTCTGTCAGAACTTCCAAAAACTCCATGTCTGAAATATCATTAAGTCAAGGAATTTATTTGGAAAAGAAACAAAATAGCCACAATTCTCTCAATAATATAATGCAAAAATCAAGTTCAACAACTTCATCAAAGACATCGGCAAGGAGCACAGCGGCAGCAAGGCCAGTCCTGTGGATCTATGCTAGTTTGGGGCAGGCAAGGCGGTTCCTCGAGCCCGGGAGACCAAAGGGTGAGCAGAGGGACCCGTCAGGGAGCCAGCAGCTCTTGTGAGCGGGGGGGGACAGGAGATTTAAACAGCCCCCAGGGAGCTCGAGCGACCTGGAGCACAGTGAAGAGGACAGGCAAACAGGGCGTGGTGCGTGGCATGGCAGTTCAGGCAGGCAGGGCAAGCAGGAGGGGCTCTGCAGCCCAATTCCAGGTCTCCAGCCCAGGGAAGTGCTTTGGTCTCTGGCAACATGGTGGGCACTCGCCTCAGAGTTAAAACCACTGCTTCTACAGAGAAAGCCCCTGAGACATCCAATGCATCCACCCAGACAGATCTGGGAAGAAAGGAAACATCAGTACAGGCGGTGGGTTGCAGCAAGTGCCCAAACCCTTCTCCCAATGATAAGGTAAGTACCTGCACTAGATGCGCACAGATTGATGACCTGTTACACCAGGTGGCCGAACTTCAGGAAATGGTTGAAAGACTGCGGAGTATTAGAGGAGCTGAGGCAGAGAGAGACAGGTGGTTTCAGAACCATGCTCCTGCGGCAGACTCCACCGAGAAGCAGGCACCTTGGAGCCTGGTGACTCACAAAACCAGGACTCCACATCAGCCTGCACCCTCTACCATCTCAACCAGAAACAGATATGAAGCCTTAACAGCTGAGGACATACATGAGCAAGGTCTGCAAAGTCCCCTGCAGGGGGAAACTGTTCCAGCAACACATAGTGGACACCGTAAGAAGAAGCAACGAGTCCTTGTAGTGGGTGACTCCCTGTTGAAGGGTAGAGAGGGACCCATCTGCTGACCTGACAGGGAGTAATGTGAGGTATGCTGCCTTCCGGGAACCAAGGTTCGAGACGTGGCTGAGAGGATGCCACAACTCATCAGGAGAACGGACTACTATCCTCTACTACTATTTAATGTAGGAACAAACAATATGGAAAGCAGAAACCTGAGCAAAAATCAAAGAAAACGTTCGAGCCCTGGGGGTACAAGTGAAAAATCATTGGGGCCCAGCTTAATCTTTTCTTCCATCTTACCAGTTCGAGGGAAGGGGGCGGCCAGAAATAGGTGCATAATGTACATTAACTCCTGGCTACGCGGCTGGTGCCATTGCGAGGGTTTTGGCTTTTATGACAATGGGAAGTTCTTCGACGACTACAACCTGTTAGGGAGGGATGGGGTCCACCTCTCTAGGCGGGGCAGGGGAATCCTAGGCAGTAGGTTGGCAGACTTGGTACAGCGGGCTTTAAACTAAAGGACTTGGGGGGTGGGGTGCGCGGTCAGGTTGCAGTCGCATCCGATGGGGGAACAAGTGTGTCCGTTCAGAGCAGCAATAAATGTGCCATAGCTGCCTCACAACTTAAGAACCAAAAGACCAACTGCCCTAAAGGTGGGCTTGGCTGTGGCAGATCCTCTTTCATCCCTCCAGGGAAACCTACATGCTCAATTGCCTCGCTGAAATGCCTTAACAACAATGCGCGCAGCATGGGGAACAAGCAGGAAGAGCTAGAGTTCTGTATGTGGTTGCGGAACCGTGATCTCATCGCAATTATAGAGACATGGTGGGACAACACGCATGACTGGAACGCTGCCATCAATAGCTATGTGCTTTTCAGGAAAGACAGGCCTAGTAGTCGAGGCAGTGGAGTTGCTCTTTATGTAAAGGAGCAACTGGAATGTATAGAGCTCTACCCAGGAGTGGACGAAGAACAAGTTGAAAGCTTGTAGGTAAAAATTAAGGGGCAGGCCAGCATGGGTGATACTGTGGTGGGTGTTTACTATAGACCACCCAACCAGGACGAGGAAGGAGACGAG